CCAGATCTCACCTCCCAGAGATAAATGCTGTTAACATTTTAGCAAATATCTTTTCAGACTCTTTAATGCACACATATATGTAAGTTTATTTTTTAAATGGGATGATCCTATAGATCTCTAACTGTTTTCATTTAACAATATTTAACAATATAATATATAATATAATTCCATAAATATATGTATGGTGCTTACTCTTAATTGGTGCACAGTATACCATTGATAGGATATACCATATTTAACCAATCTTATTCTGTGGGTTTATTTACAGTTTTTCCCATTCTTCTAATTATAAGTATTCTTTCTTGCATATTTTTTGATTGAATAATAAATGACTATATCTTAGGTCATTTTTTCTGACCTTTTTCAGGAGAATTTCCCTACAGTGGAATTACTTGGTATAGGCGAAAAATATATTGCCAAATTATTTTTCAGAAAAGTGGAATCAGTTTACATACATGTTGCTCTATAAGATATTCACTTCCAGATTTCCTTGCTGTCCCTGGAGACATTCATTCTTTATATTCTTGCCTTTCTGATACATTAAAAAAGTGTATATCATAATAGCTTACATTTTTGATTACTAGTCTATTCAAATATTTTCATATTATTAGTGCATTATTTTAATTTATGGTACATTGCCAGTTTGTGTGCTTGGTTTAATTTTCTACTAGAAAGTTTGATTCTTTTTGAGTCATAAAATGTCATTTATTCATGCATTCATTATTCACTCATTCCATAAATATGTTTTCACTATTTGCTTTTGTGTTTAGCACTGTGCTGAGGATATAAGAATAAGCAAAATAAACATGGTTGATGCCTTCTGGAACTTCAGTTTAGTGGGGACAGACAGTTAAGCAATAATGAAAAAAGTATAATAAGGAAAAGAAAAAAATGGGAACACTTGGCTGGGGAGGGAGTTGTAGATCATGAAAACTTGCCAAAGGTAGTGGAATTTAAGCTCTTGATATTTATTAGGCATCTGTACTCATTGTTAAATATATTTAAAATTTTGCTTTCTCTTAATCTGATTTGGTTTTTTTTTTTTAACTTTATAGGAATTTTGCATTTTTAATTGGTCAAACCCATCCATCTTTTCCTTTGGTGTTTCTTGCTTAACTATAACGCTTAGAAAAGCTCCCCTCCTACCACCCCACATACACTAAAATTACATCATATTCATCAATACTTCCAGTTTATTTATGTGCTTTAACATTTAAATATTTACTTCACTTAGAATTTATTTTGATGACAGTTTTGAGGTATGGATCTAATATATCCCTCAACAGATGGCTAACCATTTCTCCCAATATAATGTACTTAATAAACCAACCTTTTCTCATAGATTTGAAATGACATCTTTTTAATGTACTCAGTTCTTCTACGTTCTTGGGTTTATAACTTGGTTTTATATTTAATATTAATGGTTTATTCTGGACCATTTCTCATTCTTTCTGTAGTTACCTGAAAGTTGAGCATTTTGCATTTGGTGATGTTCTAGAACCTAAAGAAATGGTAGACATTGCTAAGGTACGTGTGTATGTGGGTGAGAAGTTATTATGGATGGATATCCTTAATTCTTTCAATTTTGAGACTTCTAGAGGCTGAAATCCCACATGGGATCATTGTTAATCTGACCAATTTGTTGGCTGGCTAAAATTAATTAGATGCTTTTATGCTCTGCATAAAGTTTAGATTCCAGTAGGTGGCAGTATTGCCAAACAGTTAAGTATCCAAACTTGCAGGAGCACTGAGGAGCAATATGATCTGTCAGGAAATTCCCCCAAGAGATTTCATTAGAGGAGGCATCAGGGCTGTGATATTCTTAAAGTCTTTCTTTGTACCCTTAAACAATGGCACAATCAGAAGTGTGCACTGAATCTGTTCCTAGACATGTGCAAAAAAGTGGACTGATTTTTAAAAGCGGTGCCTACTGTGGGCCTTTCTTCATACACCTCAACCAAAAGTGTCTTTGGGCCCAGCCAATGACTGATTCAAAGCCTGGAAATGTGGTTTTAAACAATGTGATTGTGGTGGGATTCAAGTGATTTTTATTTTCTTTGTATTTGGTGGAATTTTTCAGATTTCCCACAAAGAACATGCATTATCTCTGTAAGCTTAAAAAAAAAAATCAACACAGGGTATTAAAAATAGGGTGGTAAAATGGGTGACTGTGTGCCAGAGAAACTTTACATCCTTTTTTGTTTCAAGTATATGTACACATGAAACAAATGAGTTCAATGGGCTCTCCTTATCCCTAGAGATCAGCTCAGTGTTATTGCTAATCTGAAAGCAAATTACCAGCAGGAAGCAGAGACAATTATCTCATGGAACTACACCTGAGAAAGTCCTTTGGTAGGTAATGGGGGAGTGGGGTCAGCTCCTAACAAGATGCACTAGCATACCTAATAGGAGATGGTGAATTACCCATTGCAACTCTGAGCCAGGGTAGGTTATGGGGACTTTGAGCACTATATTTAATTTTAGAACCTGCTATAGTGAAAGAAGATCTATAAATCTTGGAGTATGTCCACAGGAACTACAAAATTGATCCAAGGCTGGGTAACAGGCACTATGAATAAAAGAGAAGGTGGCTGAATTTATTTATCTTAGATATGGAAAGCCTAGCTGGGGAATTAGACAAATCCCCATCTCCATGAGTAGCGACTATAGCCCTCCCCAGACATGGAGGTGAGACCTGAATTTATTAACAGTCTTCAGTTGTACAAAGGACAATTGCACGGAAGGTGTTACTTTCACACTGAGACTAAGGCGAGAGTGAGCACAGATTAACCAAGCGGAAGTGATTTAGGTCAGGCATTTAGAAGAAGGTGCTGAACACCAAGACTGGGCTTCTCTGTTAATAACTGTACATGGATTAGTAGGAACTAGATTGAAGCTAAAGGTTCAATATGGTAGAAGGGGAGAGAGGGCAGAGATGGCAGCTGAGAGCATGCCAGAGTAGGCTCCTTCATAATTTCTAAAACAATGGACCTGAAGTGAATTAAACTTCAGGAGATGAAAAGGAACCACATTCAGGAAAGGATATTAAGCTTGAATCAAACCAGATGTGTGAAAATTGGTGTTTGCAGACCATGTAAATTTGGGCGTGGTTACCTGTTTTGCAAAGGAGCAGTCACCCTAGGAGTCTTTCAATAGCATATTCTGACAACTGTTTTGTAAGTATTTGATTTAGAAAATTGTGATTTTACTTGTATAACTTTCAAGGGTATGTTTTGACATGAAGCTAGTCATACTTATAACCATGTATCCGTTGCCAGCTCATTGGAACACATCTCTGGACTCCAAGAATAAGGCCAATAACCAGCTGGTGTGATCTAAATAGAGACATGCGTAGTGTTTTGAGATCTCTTCCAACTCTTCAATCCTTTCACTTTCAATCAAAAAAACTAGAAGACAATTCCAAGGATAATTTCCACAACAGCAGATATTAGGTTGAACTATATGAAGTTGCCATTTTTAGGTCAAAAACAGTCAAATATCAGCATTCTCATACAATTCAACCTAATATGATAGTTATTCCAGTAGTTCGTCTCTACCTCTCTCCCTCTTCACTAAAGCTACTAAAAACTTGGGTATATTTAGTTTTTTAGGTCAAAATGTTGGTGGACATATAAATGCCTGTGCACATAAATGCTGAGAAATTATACAGTTGGTATTAAATGTGTGTCTTGGATAAACCACGGATAGCTCATCCTTTTATTGTGCTGGATTCTGGTGCCTCTGGTCTGACCTTAGGAATTTTCAGACTATGGAAAACAAGAAAAGAAGTTCAAAGGCTTGATCTTTCAACCCATGGGAAATTCTGTCTGGGAAATGGGCCAAAGGAAGAACAAGGGAAAATATAACAAAATCTGTACCATGTTACAAGTTTAGTGGAGGAAGAGCACAACAAAGCTGTGAGCAGAAAAACAAAGCATGTGGCTTCCTTCTTTCTAGAATAGAGTATTGCTTAATGTGTCCTGCTTGTAAGATTCTAAGCATAAGACAAGACACCAAGTACACGTTGGAAAAGTCTTATCTGCATAGTTATCTAAAATGAGACAAGCTTAGCTTAACTAAAAAGATTTTATTAACAATGTAAAATGTTAAGTATTTTTACGATCTGAGCTAAATCCAGCATGCCCTATAAGATTTAACACTATGCTGATATGCAGACATCATGCTTCAATTTCAATTAGAACAAAATGTGATAATATTCAATTTTACATTGGAGGGTAATTGTATATGTTACTACACCATTTCCTAACTGGATTACTTCATTCTCCAAGAAGCTGAAAAAGACACCATTGGACTGAAAGGAAATTAGTTGCCCATATGCACTGTATGAAGGTATTAGGATTATTGTGTATTTACAAAATTTAAATACTTTTCGTATATGGTTTTTGTTGCATTGTAAATTAAGACATTTTTCTGTTGAAGCTCTTAGAGTCTGACAGAATGGAAGACTAACCATAAATGAGTGCAGAGAAAGCAATAGGTTGAGGTGGTATATATTTGATTATAATATTATTTCTAATACTGGTTGGATTTTGAACAGTTTTGCAGTTTTAAATAGATTTCTGTTTAAAGACTCTCATATGTGATCAATTGTTTACATGAGATCAGCAAGAGCTACAGATATACTATTATACATGAAATAATTTTTCTCTGTATAATACACTTAAAAATTCTTTAAATAATTTAAAAATCATAATTCTTGCATCTGTCATGGTGTGGTTTGGAGCAGACATGTGCAATGTCAGCTTTAAAAATCCTTTTAAAAACAGACTGCTTTTTGAATCTATTTTTTTTTTTTTTCCTTGACAGCAGCTGCTTTCAAATGTAAAATCATTTAAAAGGACAGCAAGAGGTGGATAAAAGTAATAAGGAAGCTTAGAAAACATAGTCAAAAGCCAATGACTGTGGTTCAGCTGTCTGGAGGTCCTCGGGTTCAGTGATATTTTCAGGTCTTCCCAGTGGTGGCTTCCAGGAGGAATCGCCTAGCTTGAGACGAGACAGCACAGCCCAAAGAACCTTCTCTTCCGTCTTCTAACCAGGGGGTAGGGAGTTAGATTTAGAAGGCTGCTGTCATCTGTGATGGGACAGAATGTACAGGTTGAGTAAGGTACAGACAAAACAACTGTTTTTTAAGGATTGGCCTTAAAAATCCACTGTCCTTCAAATCCAAGTTTCTCAACTTCAGCATTGTTGACATTTTGGGGCCAGATCATTCTTTATTGTTAGGGGCTGTCCTGAGCATTGTAGGATATCCAGCAATATCACTGGCCTCTACTCAATAGATGCCAGTAGCACTTCCCTACCAGTGTGACAACTGCAAATGTCCCCAGATGCAGCCACATGTTCCTCGAGTGGGGGCGAAAGTGAAGCAAATAGCCACAGTTGAGAACCACTGCTTAAACTGCTTAGAGGCAGTTTTTCACTTGGGCAATGTATCCTTCTGAGAAACAGCCCATGCTTTGGAATAAAATTGGCTTGTTTTCTATAGTTTACTACTTACTAGTCCTGTGACTTTGAACATGTTGCTTAAGCTCATTAAGCTTCATTTTCCCCATATGTAAAATAGGGTTTAATAATACTTACCCTAGGTGAGAGCTAAATGAAATAATCTATTAAAACATTTAGCTTGGTTGGTGACCTTGGTGCCTAGCATAGAGGAGAGACTTATTATTAATAATAATATAGCTATGATTAACTATTTTTCCTTTACATAGGACCTTGTTTTACCTCCATTCACTCACTTTATGCCTCAGGAAGAGGTTTCAACTCTTTCTTGTTGAGTGTTTCCCTAGCACTTTTTATAGCCAGGTATCTGAATACAAAGGCTTTGGAGAAGGTTGTCAGCTGTTAAATTCACCAGTTCTGGCCTGAAATTTTTAGTACAACGACAAGTAGAGAAGCAAAGAAACAAACCTGTAAACCTAATCCAGTTTAATGAGCTGGGTTTTGGGGAAATAGTGCAATTCAAGAGAGAGGGTGAGTAGAGACGGCCTGTTGGAGTGGAACTGGCCAGTATGAGTCCCAGAGGCTGGAGAAGGACCACAAGGAAATAGCCTGTAAATTGTCAACTAGGGCAGTGCTAGGATATGGTCAGAATGGAATTAGGGGCAACAAAATGGCTGGTTGGCTCTGGGAAATGTTTTAAAAAATGTATTTGGCTGCATTGAGTCTTAGTTGTTGCATGCCAGGTCTTCACTGCACCATGCAGGCTTTTGTTGTGGCACATGGACTCTCTAGTTGTGGTGTGTGGGCCAGTTCCTCCATGGCGGTGGGATCCTACTTCCCCGACCAGGGACTGAACCCACGTCTTCTGCATTGCAAGGTGAATTCTTAACCACTGAACCAACAGGGTAGCTTTAAACCCAAGCTTTGCCAGGACCACTTGCACTGCTCTCCAAGAATAAAGCTAAGATGTTGCCCTCCTTTCCCCATCCTAATCTTGAAGATGCAGGACCTTGGGAAAGAGCCCAGAATTGGGAGTGAGATGAAGAGATGGGTATAGTGAAGAATGTGCCCCAGTTGAATAAAACTGGCTTGTAGATGACAGTTGGTTTTCTCGATAACTCAGCCTGGCTTGCTGCAGTCCATGGGGTCGCAAAGAGTCGGACACGACTGAGCGATTGAAGGAAAACAACAAGACACTCAGGAAACTGTCAGGAACAAAAATGAGTCCTGGCTTTCTGGTCCTCTTACATAAATTGTCATCCAAGTGCCCTGGCTTTTCTCTCCCCAGCCCCCAAGGCTCCCATGTGTCATACTTGTTTGTAAATTAGCATCACCCACCGAGCTGACAGTGTTCCTTGGAATGCTGCACTATGTTACACATTTAGATGGAACTAGAGTAGCAAGTTGGAGGCAGGAAAGAAGACAGGCACCCCAGCTGGGCACATCAGATTAATCAAACATAGCCTTCTCCCCACAGTCGCCACAGATGACAGTCCTCTCTCAAAACCCACACTCTGCTAATGTGGAGAAAAACAGGACTTTCTTTGTCTTTTTTCACAGTGAAAAATAATTCACTATAATCTGGATGTCAACATTTTGAGACTAAAAATGGGACATCTCTTTTTTTTTAACAGTTAAACCTGCCCCAAATTGTTTAAGACACTGAAAGCAATGTCAAATCCTATATATAAGCCTAATTTCTCAGCAGAATCTCTCAGAGATGAATCATGATATATCTGGAGCAGAAAGAAATGATAACCATATTCTCTCATCATTTTTAGGGCTCTCACTTCTTTAGCCACCAAATGATCAGTGAACTTAACCTAATTGGATATGGCAAAGATACAGCAGACCCTGAAGGTTTTAGTATCTCTTTGAATGCTGACCACGCTTCCTGAAACTTAAGTTCAACTGAAAGTCAACACTTCCTTGGAATAGATGCACCAAAACTATGAAGATACTGATAGGAAAGGAAAACTTTATTTTTATTTCTTTGAGACTTAGAGATCTATTTTCTGAATTCCCATTTATTTCCTGAATTTCCTATATGTTTGCCTTTCTCCAAACATTTAAGAGATTTGGGAGTGACCTCACTGGTATTTATATATTATAAAATGCAATCCTTGATATGTATCATTCCCACTGCATGGGGAACTGTCTACATACATTGGTATGTTGTATTTACAAAGAAAGTGTGCATGTGTGTGCTGTGGCATGTGTGTTCTGTGGTGGTATATTTGCTTCCATTTCCTCTTTTTTATGTATTAAAAGCACACAGCTATTATGCACAGGGATTATGAGATTTATATCAAGACTGACCTTTGTATCCGTGCATTCATTACAGTGAATCAAAAAACCTCTGTGCTATTGAAATTCTCCTCATTCACCCTTCTTTTCATATGTGTATCTATATATATATAAAACATTCACTTGTGAGTGCTATATACCCACATGCAACACATACGTATATAGCGTTCACAAGTGAATAGGACGTGTTAGAGTTGATGAGAAAGTGCTCAGATGTTAAGCAGAGGACAGGCTGCCTAATAAGGATGACTGCTGGTTTGGGGCATCTTTGTTGAGCATCTGTGACACCTTTGCCTAGCCCAGAGCTTGTCTGATCATCACCTAGGGCTGAGGTGACACTGAAGCTTAAAAAATTCTTGGCAGACATTCAGAGCAGCTTTCTACACAGTAGGAAGCTGACACCTGCAAGTAAATGCTGAAATTCACTGAGCAGTAAGTCTGCCTGGAATGGTTTGAAATGTATTCAATGCCAAGGAAAGATGTCTTCCCACATTGACTGAAATCCTGTCTTCGAAGTGAGGGACCGTCAACAGAATGTGAGCAAAATGGGTGTTTTCCCACTTATTCTAAACTTTCTGGGCTAATCCATCTGAACTTGGGAAATTTTTGATTTTTATTGCTAATGTTTGGGACTTTTACGGTGTCTTTTTTCCAAAGTGCATACTCTCAAAGAACTGTAACCTAGGACAGTTTTAAATTTGAAAATAAAAAGTGAGAAAGGGAAGAGGAAGGAGGAAAGCATAGCAGAAAGTGAAAGAAAAGGAGATTAGGGTATTCAGCCATCAGTAAGTTCAAAATTCAGTCATTTGATGTTTAATTTTTGGGTGCTACTAGAGCCAGGAACACTGAAGTCCCCTAAGGTACAATAATACCATTTCAAATTGCTTCTACCAATAAAAGATTTTTTACATAAATGATATGTTAAGAAACAGAGGGCATGAAAATGAGGTTTGCAAATAATAAACAGGTTTGAGTTTAAAGCTATGTTTTCTAAGTCAAGAGGAGTGCTTATGATGGAACTGCAAACTTCTATTCTGGAAAAAAAAAGAGAACTTCATCTAATTCCAGGGTTCCCAAACACGGGCAGCATCAGTTTCATCTTAGGGCTTGTTAAAGCACGGATTGCCAGCCCCACCTCCAGAGTTTCTGAATAAGTAGGTCTGGGGTGGGGCCAGACAATCTGCATTTCTTACAAGTTCCCAGACCTGCTGATACTTCTGGTCCTAAGACCACACTTTGAGAACCACCGAATTAATCAAAGGCCTGTGAACTGCAAGGCTCTATGTCAGGTGCTGAGGGTAACACCAGATGCGTCCTAAGAGAAAGGTGACTCTTGGCCTCAGGGATCTTGGTTTGAGTAACTAGGAGGCTTCATTAGAAATGCCACTGGACAATGTATGACAAAACCCACTGCAATGTTGTGAAGTAATTAGCCTCCAACTAATAAAAATAAATGAAAAAAAAAAAAAAAAAGAAATGCCATTGGAGAGATACAAATAGAATGCTGTGAGAATTCTCAGAGGGAAATTACTCCCATCTGTAAAGAGAACATTTGCGGAAGATTCCTGGGGCCTTGGTGTTTATGCTAGGCCAAAAGGGGTGGGGAGAACTTGAACATTTGGTGAAGCAGGGGGACAGGCGTTCTGGATGAAGACAGCAGTGTCAACAAAGATGTGGAGGTCAAAGGCAGCCTGAATTGGGTCCAAGTAAACAGTTCAGTCAGGCTGGAATGAAAGGCATATGAAGAAGTGTTAGTGTAAAACAGAACTACTGAGAATTCCCTGAATAAGGCCATATACCTTCTCTTGCCTCCCTGACTTTACATACGCCATCTCCTTTTTTTCCAGAAAAGTCTTTTCTGATTGCTCTATGCTTCTACCTTCATGCCTGCATTCATTCTATAAACAATTGCTATAGCCCTTGGGCTTCCCTGATAGCTCAGTTGATAAAACATCCACCTGCAATGCAGAAGACCCTGGTTCGATTCCTGGGTCAGGAAGATCCCCTGGAGAAGGGACAGGCTACCCACTCCAGTATTCTTGGGCTTCCCTTGTGGCTCAGCTGGTAAAGAATCTGCCTGCGATGTGGGAGGCCTGGGTCCGATCCCTGGGTTGGGAAGATCCCCTGGAGAAGGGAAAGGCTACCCACTCCAGTATCCTGGCCTGGAGAATTCCATGGACTGTCCATGGGGTCACAAAGAGTTGGATACGACTGAATGACTTTCACTTTCACTTTCATAGCCCTTGGAACATTGTCTTCTTCCAACCCTGTGCATCCACAAGTCTATAAGCAACTCTTTATGAGACAATAAATTTACCCTTG